AATACTCGTGAACGGAGCTTCTTAAATATTAAATAAAGAACCCTTCAGTAACGACATTGTTGTCACCAAATCACGTGGGTAAACATCATTAATTTGAAGTAGTTTGGTTTAGCGTCACACTCGATTTAGTGCGAATTTCAGAAGCGAACAAATGGTGACGTTAAATCGAAGTTTTACCGTATATTTCTATGATGTTTATTATATGTGTACAATTACATAAATCAATAAAGTGTTGTAAGAGACATGCAATATTTACACTATGCAAATTAGCATTTTAATTATCTTAAAATATCATTTATTCCATTATTTGCTAATTAGAAACATTATAAATTTTTTAAAATGTAGAACTTTAAATATTTTATTATTAAATAAGATATAAGTAGTTAAACTTTATATAGCCTATAATTACCGCCAAGAGAATATTTGATGTAATTTTAACATTTTAAATCATTATTATTTTTTGTTTAAAATATTATAATTTATAAACGTTTTTAAAGTTTTATAAACTTATTCTATTTTAATTAATTTTTAAGCCGACTTTTTATTCATTTATATTATAAAAACATTTATAATCCTCGAATAAAGAAGTTAAAAGGAGAATTAGACTCTATACTGTAGTGTATTGTACGTACTGTATATTATACAGTGTACGTACATTATACATAATGCATAGTCCTGTATTAATCTTCGTACGAGACTATATTATATATACTGTAAACTGTGTACAGGACTATTTGTTTTATTACTTAGCATACAACACTGTATGCAGCTTATAGAATATCTGCAGAAATAAAGAATAAGCTCTGTAATTTAAAAATAGTTTATTCTATTTAAAATCAATTTATAATGATCACTACTTTTGTGAAATATCGATCGTACTTCTAATATCATCGATAACACGCTTCATTCTTTATTTATCATCCCTATCGATCGTTATCTGAATAGAAAGGTATGAGTTTAAGAAGATTCAGCCTTACCTGCCCCTGTCGATGTCACTTGCCACCAGGTGTTACTGAGATGAAAACTGATATAATAGGTCAAGACAGTAAAGCCAACAACCAGAAGGAACACTTCTCTCACCGAACGACATCTGAGTGTAGGGCGGAACCTCATTGAAGGGATCACTCTGTCAAACAAGAAATGCTTCAATATAATTGTCTAACACCACAAAAATACTCTTCTAACATAAAAGTATTTAAATTTAACTCGTATTTATGCCCCGGTTTACGCTTTCAAATACACGAAGCATCGAGATATGGTACATTTTGTAACAGGAATCGATGATTTAACCCATCTTCGTACATCTGAAATGCATAATTAAGGGCTCTAGGGATTACTAGAGATGTGGACCACATCTTAAAATCCACATTTCCGACCAATTTTGAACCATTCTATTGTAGGATGGTGTAGAAGCAGGAATATGCCATTATGGGGTTTCCTGTCACGTTTCTCCTTAATGGCATAGTGTTGGCCATTCATTTTTGTTGTGGACAATGAATCTATTAATATCCTCTCCCATCTATTATACCTTCAAATATCATCATTAAATGACCTTATAAAGCTTCCTTATTTATATATAAATCTCAATAATTCTATCGAAATATTAAATTATAGAAAGGCTTTTAACTCTTACACTATAGATAAGATTAAACAAAAATTTGTATTCTTTGGTAGGGAGTGAAGTAATATAATCCATCATTTGTATATGGATGCGATATTGTGCAGTGGTTTTATACCAGAAAAAATTTTCTGACGTAAACAAATAATATCATTTCTGGTCGAATTAGTTTCGAATTTTATACAATTGTGTAGCAGTCAAAAATGTCTCATTTCTGTTTGCCACAATCATTTCTCATTTTCATACCTATTATTCATATTAATCCTATTTTTAACATATTTTTATCTTTAAAATTCTAAATATTAATTATTTGAATATTTAGATTCTTAAAATAAACTGTAAAAATCCGCTCTCAAAGCCTCTCTCTTGAACGTAGATAACTGAATTCTAACGTGTTTTATGCAAATTATAACTGTTAGAAACAATAAATTATTTAATTTAATACATTTTTATATAAAAAATGCATAAACTTAATATTTTTTAATAAAAATATCAATTTTTTAAAGTAATTATTAAGACCTGTAAAGAGGAAATTTATACTGTAATTTTACAATAGAATTTCAATAAACTAAAAAGCTTATAAAAGTCTTTTTAAATTTAAACTTCAATTTTTTTTTAATATTTTAGTATATTGTATAAAATCATTCAATTTATTTTCTTTTAAGTCAGATATTTCTTTTTTGTTTTTAAACTTTTAAAAGTATAGAAAGAACCTTACTTTAACATAAAATAAAATAATAAATTTAAAAAATAATAATTAAAAAATGTATTTTTAAAAAAATTTAATTAAATTTTATCTGATAAAAAGTTATTAAATTTATTTTTGTAAATATACTATTAAATTTTTATATTTTTTTTATACAACAAAAATTTATTTCTAGATTTAGCTTCAATAATATATTATTTGCCGAAATTTTATAATATATATATAACAGTCAAACCTCGAAATAGTGCTCTTTTAAATACTGTATGTCACTCCGGAAAAAGCGCCAATGAATACTCGTGAACGGAGCTTCTTAAATATTAAATAAAGAACCCTTCAGTAACGACATTGTTGTCACCAAATCACGTGGGTAAACATCATTAATTTGAAGTAGTTTGGTTTAGCGTCACACTCGATTTAGTGCGAATTTCAGAAGCGAACAAATGGTGACGTTAAATCGAAGTTTTACCGTATATTTCTATGATGTTTATTATATGTGTACAATTACATAAATCAATAAAGTGTTGTAAGAGACATGCAATATTTACACTATGCAAATTAGCATTTTAATTATCTTAAAATATCATTTATTCCATTATTTGCTAATTAGAAACATTATAAATTTTTTAAAATGTAGAACTTTAAATATTTTATTATTAAATAAGATATAAGTAGTTAAACTTTATATAGCCTATAATTACCGCCAAGAGAATATTTGATGTAATTTTAACATTTTAAATCATTATTATTTTTTGTTTAAAATATTATAATTTATAAACGTTTTTAAAGTTTTATAAACTTATTCTATTTTAATTAATTTTTAAGCCGACTTTTTATTCATTTATATTATAAAAACATTTATAATCCTCGAATAAAGAAGTTAAAAGGAGAATTAGACTCTATACTGTAGTGTATTGTACGTACTGTATATTATACAGTGTACGTACATTATACATAATGCATAGTCCTGTATTAATCTTCGTACGAGACTATATTATATATACTGTAAACTGTGTACAGGACTATTTGTTTTATTACTTAGCATACAACACTGTATGCAGCTTATAGAATATCTGCAGAAATAAAGAATAAGCTCTGTAATTTAAAAATAGTTTATTCTATTTAAAATCAATTTATAATGATCACTACTTTTGTGAAATATCGATCGTACTTCTAATATCATCGATAACACGCTTCATTCTTTATTTATCATCCCTATCGATCGTTATCTGAATAGAAAGGTATGAGTTTAAGAAGATTCAGCCTTACCTGCCCCTGTCGATGTCACTTGCCACCAGGTGTTACTGAGATGAAAACTGATATAATAGGTCAAGACAGTAAAGCCAACAACCAGAAGGAACACTTCTCTCACCGAACGACATCTGAGTGTAGGGCGGAACCTCATTGAAGGGATCACTCTGTCAAACAAGAAATGCTTCAATATAATTGTCTAACACCACAAAAATACTCTTCTAACATAAAAGTATTTAAATTTAACTCGTATTTATGCCCCGGTTTACGCTTTCAAATACACGAAGCATCGAGATATGGTACATTTTGTAACAGGAATCGATGATTTAACCCATCTTCGTACATCTGAAATGCATAATTAAGGGCTCTAGGGATTACTAGAGATGTGGACCACATCTTAAAATCCACATTTCCGACCAATTTTGAACCATTCTATTGTAGGATGGTGTAGAAGCAGGAATATGCCATTATGGGGTTTCCTGTCACGTTTCTCCTTAATGGCATAGTGTTGGCCATTCATTTTTGTTGTGGACAATGAATCTATTAATATCCTCTCCCATCTATTATACCTTCAAATATCATCATTAAATGACCTTATAAAGCTTCCTTATTTATATATAAATCTCAATAATTCTATCGAAATATTAAATTATAGAAAGGCTTTTAACTCTTACACTATAGATAAGATTAAACAAAAATTTGTATTCTTTGGTAGGGAGTGAAGTAATATAATCCATCATTTGTATATGGATGCGATATTGTGCAGTGGTTTTATACCAGAAAAAATTTTCTGACGTAAACAAATAATATCATTTCTGGTCGAATTAGTTTCGAATTTTATACAATTGTGTAGCAGTCAAAAATGTCTCATTTCTGTTTGCCACAATCATTTCTCATTTTCATACATCAAACGTGAATATTATATACAGTTATTCAATGTGTGGGAGGAAATATATATCATTTCTTGTAAATATTCTTCGTGCATCAATCATTTGCAAACATGCTTTTATTCGGAAGTAGTTTAATCATCAATTTTTGGGCTTCTTTTTCTGAAATTTCTTCAGAAAATATTGTTTTTTATGCGTGTACGCTCATATTTTTAGTTGAAGGTTTCTTTCTAAAGTACTGTACCTGTAGTTCTGTATTGGTTTATTGTGACAATCTTCCCAACTGGTGGTTTGTCATGATAATCTTCTCAATTGTAGTTTATCATGACAATCTTGTCAAATATTGGTTTATCATAACAATGTTTCCAACTAGTGGTTTGTCGTGGCAATCTTCCAAACTGGTGGTTTATCATGAAGATCTTTCTAACTAGAGATGTGTCACGATAATCTTCCCAACCAATGGTTTATCATTGCAATCTTCCTAACTGATAATTCATCCCAACCGGATGATAACTCTTTTAACCATTAGTTTTATCATACCACTCTTCGTAGCCATTAGTTTATCATGATAAACTCCATTATAACATTCTTCTCACTTAAGTATTCTTTATGATACTTGTCCTTATTACTGGTTTATCATAATAGTCCTTACATTTAGTGGTTTATCACGACAATCTTTCCAACTAGTGGCTTATCTGATAATCTTCTTAATCAAAGGTTTACCATGGCAATCTCCTTAACTAATGGGTTAACATAGAATCTTCCTAACCAGTGGTTTATCATATCAAGCTTCTTAACAGGTACTTTATCGTATAGATGCTTCATTAGTAGCATTATATCATAGCATTTCTCAAGCATTGGTTTATTCTTTATTTCCTAACCAAAACTGATCGTTTTCTATATTTTCAAAGTGATTTTCACTAGCTCTGGAGATCGCGACTTACCGGTTGAAAGAAACCGTATCATCAGCTCTTGATGTAGTTTAATTCCTCATTACTTTTAAAATAAAAATATTTCAAAATCTAACTAATTTTCCGTTCGTAGCGAATGCCTTTCATCGATGAAGGAAGATAATTTCAAATTATCTTCCTTCATCGATGAAAGACATTCGCTACGAACGGAAAATTATTAATTCGGTAGCAGTCATTTGAAGAAGAAAAATGACTTCAACGTAATTTGTCTATTGTGCATTGTTTTCATGATTGAAGTATTCACGAATTCTATGAATAGTGACGGCCATTATCAATCTTAAAAATGTGTCGTAATAAAAATATTTTCGAAAATATAGTTTTTTTCTTAAACATGTTTAAGAAATAGAATGATAAAACTTTCCGTATTCAAAAAAACTCAGTCGATTGAGCCCTCCGAATTGTTTTTTGGATATTTGGATTTTTATGAAAATTTTTGTATTATTGCTGTTAGACACGTGTGGAAATTTTCGGAAATTCTAAGCTACGAGCTTGTTAGTGAAGTATGAACTCATCACCGATTACGACAGTACAGAAATAAGTTCTGTAATATTATGCGTGCAGTTCGATTTTGTACGTAATTTCTTAATTTATCAAATATAATAGATTTTTGGCATATATTTCATTTGGTNGGTCTAAAAACATTATCTTGCATCAAAAAAACACATTTTTGTTAATAATTAAAAAAGTATATTTTTAATAATAATTTTACATAAATACACTCATAATCTCATTTAAATACAGTAGTTAATTTTCAGCTTTTTAAAAGAAAAAAAAAATTAAAAAATCTACTTAATCATATTAAATATCACTCATTATGATTAAGCACTTTATTTAAATTAAGAACTGTAATTAATCTTTATATAATTTTTAATGATTTAAAAATAAAATTTGATTTTTTGTGTGTGTTTTTTATAAATTAAAATAAACAAAATTTGATTTTTTTAAAGAAAATAACCCAAAAATATACTTAATTACCTTAAATATCACTTATTATAATTAGTTACTCTATTCAAATAATTCTAATTAAACTTAAGAAAATATATTTAAATGTTTTCAAAACAAAATTTAAACTTTTTTTTTATTTTTAGAAATTAGAATAAACAAATTTGCTGATTTTTTTTAAGAAAAAGCAATTAATTGCATTTACAGTTGAATGATAATTTTTGAAATCAAATTGATGATTTGATTCAATATTTTTGAAACTTTCAAAGAGATGAGATGCGTGTTTTCTTTCAAGAAATTTAAATTCTTTTTATTTTTACATTTAAAAATATGAAAAATAAATATTTTTAAATCTAAAGGGAATATAATTTCGAATTTTAAATTTATATTTAATGATAATTCAATTGATAAAAAAAAAGTTTGAGTAGAGGTATTTTTTTGGATAATTTTCTAATAATTTTATACATTTTTTTTGTTGTTTATTTTATTAAAAAAACAAGCTAAAAATCATTATAAATTCAATTTATTTAAGCAATTTATATACGTATATATGTATATATAGATTATTTTATTAATATTAGAATATTGATTATCTAAAAATGCATAATGAGAGCTGCTTGTAAAAAATACAAATAAAAGAATCGAAAGATGATTGTTTTCCAATAATAACATTTTTATTAATTTTTAGATACGTTTCAGAATTTAGTTTTTTCCATTTTTTTAATGTAAATTGTGTAAATTTTTTGTTTGTTTCTTATTATTAAATTGTAATATGTATATAAGTATAGAAGAATTTATGAAAAAATAAAATATGAAATTGTAGAAAAAAATGTATAAAAATATTATAAAGTATAAAAAAAACATATTAAAATGTAAAAAAATAAATGACAATGTGAATTTAGAAATGTATAAAAACATAGAAAATGCATTAAAATATGTATTACAATCGGGGCCTTTCTTCAGAGGTTGGTTTGGGGCCCTAGGTAAAGTGGGCCCCTTTATCCGAATTTTTTTAAACAAATGAATTACGTAGAATGTTTCTTTATTAATAAAGACAGACTCAAATATTTTATTTTTTGTTCGTTATAGGTAGGGCTGGTCCTATGACTGTATTTACCAACAAAGAGGTGAGAGTAGAAGTCAATCAATCAGTATTTTAAGTACTGTACAGTACGTGTCTGATTGATTAACCTTGACTTCGACTCAATTCTTTGGTGAATACAACCGTTAGACTTGGTGTGATCCTAAACTATAACATATAAGAGGTCCTCCCTCCCTCTCCATCAAATAATGATGGAGACCCTAAACTAGAGACTCATAACGTAAGCCAGCACGTTTAGCTTATGTGCAAATCCGGCCCACTTACAGGGCCGTCGAGAGGGGGTAGTTGAGGAAAAATCCCCAACTTCCCCCTCTCGATGGCCCTGGTGACAATATAGAAAGAAGAGAAATGATCGTGCATTTATTACTCGTAATTAGCATGTTAAATATATGGTAATTCATTCAGTTTACTTTTAGTTTTTAGTTTTATTTTTATTTCTTCAATCAAAATTTTAAAATTTTAATTAAGTTTCTGTTAATCATGTGAAGTCGACACGTTTTGTAACATCCAATTATTTGATGAAAAAAAAGTCAGTTTAAGGAAAAGTTTGATAAGAGATAATTAGCTTATTTTGCCACCCAATGTATAATATATATAACCACGAATCAAAAAACATTTTTATAAGAATATTTGACTTAAATCCTGATTTAGTAGACGTAATAAATGTCACTAAAATAAAGAATATGACATTTATTACAAAGAAAACAATCCCTTTGTTCTAACAATATTCAAATTCTTCAATTTTTGATGATATTAGTCCTACAGATCTTACTTTTTTAGAAAAATATTTCTTTGAAATTATTTTTCTAAGAAAATGTTCTCGTAAACTTGTAAGATCTTGTAACCAAATGTTTGATTTAAAAAATAAAAATAAATAAACTGTTTAGTTAAACAAAGCGAAAACTTTTCTTTGTTTTTAGCTTAAAAATTTACAATAAATTATACGATTTTTTAGAAAAGCCAAATGCAGATTTTGCAGTAAAGTTTATGGATTTTNATTCAATTCCCATCAATTCAACGGAGTAATCTGCATTAGCAATCCTTTCTTCCTATCAATGACTAACTTAGTAAATAATCAATATATTAAAGTAAGTGCCGAATTTCTTAGAAAAACCTTCGTAATTCTGTGCCTTTAAATGCCAATTGTGCGCTTCGGATAAGCGCGTAATCTTATAATTCTAATTGTAGATTGTGCCTTTGAAAATCTGAATAAGTTTTTAACTTTAATTGTTTGCCGTTTCTTGGAAACGTACGTAATTTTGTGATTTTAATTGCAGATAGTAACTTTGAAAACACGTGTAATTTTATAGCTTTTAATTGCTACTTCTGCCTTCATAAACGTTTGTAATTCTGTAGCTCTAAATACTAATTGTGCCTTTGAAAATGTGCGTAACTTTGTAGTTCTAAATCTGGATCGTACGTTGATTATACTATTCGGATTTTGTGTTTTAAATGCAGATTGTGTCGTCGAAAACGTGCATAATTTTGTATGTTTAAACGCGGATTTTACAGTACTTGCAGCTGATTGTTGTAAGTGTAATTTGTATCTTCGAAAACGTGCGTAACTTTATAGCTCTAAATAGAAATTGTGCCTGTGAAAATGTGCTTCAATTTTATAGCCGTAAGTATAATTTATAGTCTTCTATATATATAGAAAAGAAATCCTTCTAAAATGGCGTTACAGAATATTATATATATCGATTCAAATTAGTTATTTGTAAAGCTCTTGCTTTTAAAAAAATTATTTTTATCTCCACATTTAATAATAATAATATAAAAAAAAACAACAAGATTTGTATATTTACTTAAATACACAATCATAAAATAAATTTATCTAAATATTTTATAAGATAATTATGTTTAATGCACAACGAAATTATAATAATTTGCTATTTACTAAATTATTATTATTTTTTTGTTTTGATGAAAGAAAATTTATCATTTCTTATCCAAAAATATTTTCTTAATAGAAGTAATAAATTTATTTATTGTTATTATATTTTATCTAAAAAAACATCAAATCATTGGTAAAAAAATCCAGGATAAATACGATTAATACATTATTTAGGATAGAAAACACACTCAAAAAATTATAATATGTTCTTTGTCATACATCTCAGTAACACAACAAAGTCACCTTTATTTTCAGGTTCTTCGGTGCCTCAATGTATAAATCTTTTAACAAGTTTTAAATATTAAGGCAGAGAAGAGGCTCTTATTTTGAGCTCATAATATGTCCCTTTTTACACACCTCACGAGAGAAGTGCCTCAAAATAAAGTCAAGCGACTTTATTTTGAGGCACTTCTCTCGTGAGGTGTGTAAAAAGGGACATATTATGAGCTCAAAATAAGAGCCTCTTCTCTGCCTTAATATTTAAAACTTGTTAAAAGATTTATACATTGAGGCACCGAAGAACCTGAAAATAAAGGTGACTTTGTTGTGTTACTGAGATGTATGACAAAGAACATATTATAATTTTTTGAGTGTGTTTTCTATCCTAAATAATGTATTAATCGTATTTATCCTGGATTTTTTTACCAATGATTTGATGTTTTTTTAGATAAAATATAATAACAATAAATAAATTTATTACTTCTATTAAGAAAATATTTTTGGATAAGAAATGATAAATTTTCTTTCATCAAAACAAAAAAATAATAATAATTTAGTAAATAGCAAATTATTATAATTTCGTTGTGCATTAAACATAATTATCTTATAAAATATTTAGATAAATTTATTTTATGATTGTGTATTTAAGTAAATATACAAATCTTGTTGTTTTTTTTATATTATTATTATTAAATGTGGAGATAAAAATAATTTTTTTAAAAGCAAGAGCTTTACAAATAACTAATTTGAATCGATATATATAATATTCTGTAACGCCATTTTAGAAGGATTTCTTTTCTATATATATAGAAGACTATAAATTATACTTACGGCTATAAAATTGAAGCACATTTTCACAGGCACAATTTCTATTTAGAGCTATAAAGTTACGCACGTTTTCGAAGATACAAATTACACTTACAACAATCAGCTGCAAGTACTGTAAAATCCGCGTTTAAACATACAAAATTATGCACGTTTTCGACGACACAATCTGCATTTAAAACACAAAATCCGAATAGTATAATCAACGTACGATCCAGATTTAGAACTACAAAGTTACGCACATTTTCAAAGGCACAATTAGTATTTAGAGCTACAGAATTACAAACGTTTATGAAGGCAGAAGTAGCAATTAAAAGCTATAAAATTACACGTGTTTTCAAAGTTACTATCTGCAATTAAAATCACAAAATTACGTACGTTTCCAAGAAACGGCAAACAATTAAAGTTAAAAACTTATTCAGATTTTCAAAGGCACAATCTACAATTAGAATTATAAGATTACGCGCTTATCCGAAGCGCACAATTGGCATTTAAAGGCACAGAATTACGAAGGTTTTTCTAAGAAATTCGGCACTTACTTTAATATATTGATTATTTACTAAGTTAGTCATTGATAGGAAGAAAGGATTGCTAATGCAGATTACTCCGTTGAATTGAATTGATGGGAATTGAATTAATGTAGCAAAACAATGAAAATCAAGTAACTAACGATCCACAGAATAACTTCGATTAAGGAATAAATCGAAGGACCAATTAATGGAAGAGGGGATGCAAATAAACAATGAATAGATTCATTATGTTTCAAAATTGTTTTATTAAATTCATTTATTGTAATGCATTACACATATATTTGCTTGATAATTTTGCGTATTTCCGTATCCGTTTCCAGCATATTTTTGGTATTATTTATAATTTCTTTTGGAAAATTTAAATAAAGAATTTAAGTAAAATAAAGAGTGTTTTTAAAAGTGGAATTCTTATAAATTTATATTACAGAAATTATAATTTTAGTATATAAATATTTATAATTTTTAAATTAAAAATAAATAGTTTTCAAAATCTAAAAAAAAATTCCTTCAAATTTTTACGTTTTTTTTTAACTTTTTCGAGTAGAAAATTTCTTGAAAAAATAGGAAGTTACTCTGATTTTCTTTGCCTTTTTCCAGGATTCAAAAAATGTTAAAAATTTAGGCAATATATTTGATAATTTTTGAATTTTTCTGATTTTCTCTGACAATATTTTGTAGGAGAAAAATTAGGAAAAAAATCCAAGCAACATTTTATCACTTTTTAAAATAAAAACTCGCTAAAAAGAATAACAAAAAGAATTTTTTTCCTCTGATTTTTCTAATTTTTCTCAAGCAAAAATACTGTTAAAAAGTCAGAAATTTCAAAAAATTATATTAAAATAGATCATAAATTTATAGAAGATTTTTTTTAAGAATTGCAACATATTTAATCTTTAACTTTAATCATTAGAAACATCATCTAAGATATAATTCACATCTCTATATCAAAATTTAAGTTTAAAAAATAGATATAAATAAGATAAATGACGTCCAATATCCACGCATCCATCAAAGGAAAACATGAGAATACTCACCACAAGTAATCCTACTTCCGTCGTAGGACCTTAGTCAATCGTTTTCTTTCATATTCAAATCTTGTATCTTCAACAATTATCATCTAAAAAAAGAGAAAAAGAAGAAAATTTATCAAAAAAATTTGCTTTCAATTATCCCAGTGATGATGTAGATATGGCAGTTCAGTATCAAATCTTCACTAGAAGACAATTATGGATTAATTTTATATGTAAAATATTAACTTTTTAGATGAAAAGTATTTTTAAAAAGTTATTTATCATTAAGCAAACTTACAGAATCATTGTTTAAGTATAGAAAAAAAAAGAGAAGCTTATGGCTTACTTATCCGAATCTACTTCAGACTCATTCTGTAGGAAAGATAATGGATGTTTATCTTTAAGGAACGATGTTTATTCTGAGAAAATTCCTTTAGAATTTTCAATAAATACATATTCAATCAAAGCTCCTGTTCAGGATTAGATTTTAACTAGTTAAATATTCATTCGTATACTGAATAGGATTTTATTTTTTGAAAGAAAGTAGACATTCCATCATGAAATTTTAATGTTGTAATTATTTTATATTAATAAATCTGAATTTTTAATCATTTATATATGTATTTTTAATATTACATATATTAAAATTAAAGAAATCAATATTTTAAGAGTGATAAAATTTCTTTAAAAAAATACAGAAGGTACCACTTATATCGAGCGATTTTCAACACCGTTCTCATCATTTTACTTCATTTTAAAAATTTCCAATAAAAAAAAAATTACATTTTTAGATGATATTTTATCAAAATAAATATATAAAAATATCTCAGAATATTTGAATTTTTTTGTTTTTTTATTTTACTATAAAATGTTTCATATCTCCATACCGGAACAAATATTTTCTTTGACAATTTATGATATTATATACACATGTATCTGAAATAGAAAGTTCCATTTTTTTGATATTCAAAAAAATCAATATTAAAATTCCGTACACGATATAGAAAATATCATTTTTCACTATCAAAAAATTCGTCTTAAGACTTTAAATATTTATAACTTAATCACAAACATGATAAAAATGTAAACAAGTCAATGAACGAACAAACATCTTCGAAAAAATCTAAAAATATTTATTCATAAACATTACTTTAAAGAGATTTTTTTAGATAATCCAAAAAATTCGCTAATAAATATTTAATTTTGTCATTAAAATTTTTAAATTATCAACAAACTTGAAGAAAGAGTCAGGATTGGGTTTACATACGAGCTAAACAAACTACAACTTAGGACTTCACGCTTTTAAATTTATTATTTAGTAGAGGGCACGCTCGGGCCCTCATGAATTTATTATTATTTAATGAAACTGGAGGGCCTCTTATATGGTATAGCTTATACCCTTAAGATTTTAAATTTATTAATGTTTAGAAGAAGAGGGCACGCTTTAGGGGTAGCTCAAGATCTTATACATTTATTATTATTTGATAGAGCTGAAGAACATCTCATTAAGCCCTTAAGATTTTAAGTTTATTATTATTTAATGGAGCTAAAGGGCCTCTTATATTTTAGGGCCACAACAAATCTAATCTAAAATCTGACTGTGGAAAGAGTAAACGCATTCGAATTCATAAAGAAACTTCTCTTTATTACTACAATCTTCAATATTTTAGAATTTAAATACTTTTCTTTTAGATAATAAAAAGTTTGTAGAATGGCCATAAAGACGATTTCTTTTTTAAAATACTTTTCCATCTTTCGCACCAATTGGAAATGGACGTGTCAGGTTAATCCATCAAATTTAATATTACTTCGGCACAATGCTTCTAACTGTGACAGTCAGACACGTTACATCACTAGCGTTATTTCTTTTTCTTGATTGCTTAACAATCACATGACCCTAAAGGCTGGTAAGATATTATCTGATATAAAAAGATATATTTTCAGGCGAAAAAATGTGTAAATGATTGTTTTTTATCGAGTTTTGATGATATTTCTATGCGGATAAACATTCTAATGTGATTTCTGGTGATTAAAATACATGGTTAATTTTTACAATAAACTTTATTGTTATTATTTTAGAATATTTTATATTTATTGAAGTATTATTTTTCATATTTTAGAAATTTCTATTTTTAACATTTTATTTGATATTTTTTTCATATTTCGCAATTCTTTGAACACTTCCGTTAAACATCATCATCCGATTTATCAGATTTACACTTGTTTATACATTTTAATTACACTCAATTTCAATAGAATAATGATTAATATCGTAAATAAGGTATTTAATAAGAATCTCTTAATATAATCCAATTAAATAAGCGCAATTAATTAATTAAATATTATAAGTTAGGTTATAATGAAAGTTTCTTGTATTCATATGACATACTCTAAATTGAATTGACATAAAGTTGTATAATTAGACACCACTGGTTGCTTGTAGTAGTGAATCAGGACGTAAATCAAAAGACCGATAGGAAACATCGACATTTCGATCGAGACGATTGATTTTCTGTACAACTGCAACAAGATCAGTCCTTGTTTGACGATGCCAGGTGTTGTCATCATCGGTTCACAATGGCAACTACATTGGTTTGCTCTCGTCCGATTTACTCGAATTTTATACACTTTATATGAATTTTTTAGAAGATTTATAACTATAACGTACATAAATATAAATTTATGATGAGAAATTAGCATATAAACAATATTACTTCGCAATATTGACCATTGTTTCAATGATAACAACACGACTTCTCTCCACTTTAAATATAATTTTTTTTCGAGTTTTATATAAATAAATAAGTAGAAATATTGTCGTCAGATATTTAAGACGTGTATTATGTGTCAAATGTGATGAAACATTTATATATTCTCCCTAGATTTAGACGTGGCAAAGAAGGATTTGCAGGGCTTGGTTCATCTGACACAATTTACATGCTGGCAGAAAAACCTCCATTCCAAAGTATTAGAGTTGCTCGGACCTCGCATTTACCATGGAATGAATGTTGTAATGTGTTTCTGTCTCTCCATTACTGCTGATCCTGGCTTTCTACACCTAAGCACTTTACATTGGAAGGCTTTGACAAGCCGTCACGAGACAATTCTGTATCCTATTGGAAGAGAGTTGGGGATGGTTCCAACAGCTGGCGAGCCATCGTTATACTTCTATTCCATCTCCATTGAGCAGCGTGAAAAGATTGTTGGTTTATTTATTGAGTAAACGGCAAAGGGATCAGGACCCGAGGACACAAGTCGATAGCGTTCTATTATTCATAGCCAAGTAGAGCTGTGACACATGAATAATACAACAATTCACCGTTGAGGGGCCTTGAATAGTAATGACGTCAGACAGGAAGTAACTATCCGCGTAGCTTCCGGTCCTTAAAATCTTTTCAAAAGAAAGTTTATAGTATCTCTTGACCCGTTGTGAGAAGGGGGTTCGATTCTCTTTACAAACTCTCCCATTCTTATCATCATAATTAGAGTCGCGAATCCCTTAAGATTTTTGAGTTTTCCTTTCGTTATAACACAAAATCCTCGATTTAATGCTTTTATAATTCATTTATGCTGTATCCTTTTACTTAGTATTCAAAATAGCTATTTTTTTATACGGGAAAAAAAACATTAAAAACGTATAGATTTTATCTTGAAAGCAAACAGCTTATGCAGGTAATGATTAAAATCAATTAATTTTATCTATGAAAATACTTAAATATAATTTTATTTTAAGGAAGAAAGCTTTAAAATATATAAATAAGTTTTTTAGATTAAAAAAAGTGATAAAAGTTTCCAAAAAATTTATTTTTATTAAATTTTTACATATTTCTTTTGTATGTTTCATTAGTTTCTCACACTTTTTTATACGTTTTACGTAAGTGAAGTGATATTTTATCTAAAAGATCTATCTTTAATTTCTGTAAGCTCTAAAAATATTATCAATATTCCAAAAAATATTTTATATAATGAATATTTAACGTATTTCAGAATTTTACTTTTTATATAATACAAAAAAATTAAAAGTAAATCTTTAAATAAGCAACAATATAACTTATATAAAACATCTAAAAGCATATAAAACTAATTAAAAAATAAAGCAAAAGAAAATCTAAAAAATGTAATAAAAATTAAATTTTTTGGAAANAAATTGTATAATGTACTTTTATAATTTTTACTATTTTATATAAAATATATGTTTAATTCTAGAGCTGATAAATTGAATCAGAGATTTTATTATATTATTTATTAATTTCATATATTTAATTACAAAAAGTTCACTTTAAACATAATAAAGATGTTGAAAATTTTAGATGATGATAATTTCCAAGTGACAAATGAAGAATTAGACACCCTTTTAAAATGTATAAAATAATTGATTTAATCTTTAAATCCTATTCAGTAGCATTTAAGTAAGTTAAGTAGATAAAGCATCAAAGTAATGAGGCCTTAAGGCCATGATAATGAAGTAAACCAGAGTAAAACAATTTATCAAATGGAGTGTTGAAAGAAAAAAAGCAAAACTCTTGATTCTTTGTACTGTAGACAGATGGCGTAGTTGACGTGTGTTTGGAAAACCTTTAACAAGAGGCAGATGGTCAAAGGTTTTACCCAATAAAACATTTTCACATTAAGTAAGCATTTGCAGCTGTAAAACGTTCTTAATGAAACATTTATTCTAATTATTTATTCTGGTTTTTAATTTAAAAAAAACAAGAAAAATTTTTTATTAATTGAATTATTTCAATCACAGAAACTGAAGTTTACGTTTTAAAACATTCGAAAAAAATTTACATTTATTTGATCATGGTAAAGAAACAAGATTGAAAAGGATGTAAAAATCAAAGATTATAGCTAGGAGCAAAGATGCAAAATGAAGGATTTTAAATCAGAAGTTACGGACTAAAATCAAATATTATAGAAGGAACTTTGCCCTAAAATCAAAGATTGTACATCAGAACTAAGATCCAAGATCAATTTTTGTAGCTTAATAGATGAGAACAAGGAGAGTCATTTGGTATGGATCTCAGACACAGAAGGGCCCCAAAATTTAATTTTTTGTATAATAAAACATACTATAGAAGTAAAAAAATATTTTTTATTTGTTTTT